ACCCAATGCTCCCAACCCCTTGAGGCCCATCACTGCCCCTGCCCACCCTCCCCCCCCCCTCCCCTGCCCAAAGTCTTTGGGAGAAAAATCAGACAAGTGAAGGCTTCTTGGGCACTGAGGGGGAAAGCCGGGGGCAGAACAGTGGGAGATTAGGGGGTGAAGAGTTTGGGGCTGCAGCAAGAGAGGGGTGTTATGGGGAGGGGGATAAACTGGAATGGGGGGGAGAGAGGCTGGGGTCTCAGCTGAGGGAGGCTTGGGGGAGTGAGGGGATCAGGCACTAGGAAGGGGGATGTGAGGGTGTGTGGCAGGGAACTAGGGGACAATAGGAGCAGTGGCACTTGTCAGCCCCACTTTCTCCCCCTATTTGTATGTCCAGGGCTGGAGAGCTCTTTCCCCTCTAGGGGAGATCTAAGCCCCCCTCCTTGCCCCCCTCTTATGATCTGGGATTTAGATGCCATGCCCCTCTGGGTGCCTGAGCCCCTCTTGCTGCCCCCTCCATGTGTGCCAGGATCTGAGAGCCCTGTACTAATCTATGAGGGTTGGATCACCCCTCCCCCCAGCATCATGTAAGCCAGGTTTAGGGGGGTTGCCCTTTTAGAAGTGAATGAGTCCTCTTTCCTGCACCCCACATGAACCAGTATCTGGGGAAGTCCTGCCCCTTTGATTAGGGAGCTGAGAACAAGTCTACTTCATGCATATCACAGGCTGGAAAGCACTCAGGAGCGGGATGGGAACACCCACTAAGGTGAATGGAGCCATTGACACACACAGCTGTTTCAGGTGGCACTCACCTCCATGGGGTGTTCTCGTTTAGCCGAGAGCTTCACACTGACAGGACTGGGCCTCTTCACACCTTTCAGAGCCTCCTACGCTGCAGAGGGATGTGCAGGGGACCCCTTTCCTGCCATCATCCCACTACCCTTGTTTAAAGCTGAGGCTTCTAAGCGCTCTTAAGCCTGAATGTTCGCATAGATATTCTTGCAGTTTGCTAGGACTTGCGGAAGTGACCCACGTTTGGGGCCATTTGAGCCTGGGGTTCTGGAGGTATATGCCCTGAGGAAAACAGCCATTTTTCCAAAGTTTCTAGGTGGGTTGTTTTTATGCAGAGCTAGAGATCAAACTATTGCTGTGATGCAGGTTAAAATGGCCTCCATTGGTCATTTTTTACCCAAGGTAGTGCATGGCCCCCACTAAGTCTTTGGGGAACCCAAATTGTGAATGGTATTTAAGAACACGTTCACTTTTTTGCTTCCGCAGACATGCAGTATGGCAGGATTACAGCCAATAATGAAAAAACAGAGAGGGTTTCTATGCAGCCATTTTATGGATGCCTGAGTAGTTTGAGGGCATGTGCCAATGCCATTGCCCTGATGAACACCCTGTCACCGATATTTCTAGTCTGAACCTTTGTACAGCTGTGCAATAAAGAATTAAACAACTCATGTTGCTTGCTACAAGTTCTCTGTTATAATACACGTCTTTATTTTATGGGAAGGCTTACTGTGAACACAACAGAATAATCAGCAGTTGGTCTAACCAAAATTTGTGTTATATTGGATGGGGAGAAGATGGAAGCAGAGGACTGTGTGTAGGTGAGGTGGGAGGGAGAGAGGAAGAGGTTGCATTTGAAGATGGGTTGGGTAATGAGGATGGGTGGTAGCCAAACCTTGGATTGTTGCTTGGAAAAAAAAAAAAAGTCTGCATTTCACTTGCCAGTGTGGGTGCCAGTGGCCACTTCCTGATCTTAGGGCAGAATACCATGGGGTTTTCAAAGACAGACAGTGCAGAGGTTTGAAACTCACAGCACAGGTACCTTGACCACTGAGGGAAAAGAAATATACGTGCACTGCCAGGGTTGCCAACATACCTGGATCACAAGGTTGCAGGAGTTTGTTGTAGAGCAAGGAGTACATCATGGCATGAGGATTACCAACTGATTGCAGGACCTGGTATGTACAACTGCCCAAATGACTACTGACATTTTTCCTGATTAAAAAAACTAGGAAATTAAATAGCAAAAAACTCCCTTAATGCAGAGTTAAATGAGAGTGAATGGGTTGTAAAAGGAGGTGGACTATCAGGCTGGCAGAATGAAGCTGTGTGTTAATGGGGCACAATGCTGAATAAGGTTGCTCATGCAACCTCAACTCTGCATTTCCCTCTTTTCAGATGTTTGAGTTTTGCTCAGCTCAACACTCTGCAAGGGACGACATACCACCAAATAACCTTAACTCTGCATTAATGGAGTTTTTGCAACTAAATATAGATCAGTTCTGGCCCTAAAGGGGAGCTTTTTGGTGTCAAGAAATGATATTTTCAGATTCTACATTTGTTCTAACACCTCTGAAGTAGAAACACTTTGTATGGAACAACTTTACAATGGACATTTTCAAGCAAAACAATACCTTAGAGATTATGCAGAGATGGATCGCCCCATTTCTAATGCAACACGAATTATGACTAATGTTCTGATGCCAGTTCTAATAAGCTGAAATACCACAAATTTACTGATGTATCAAACCATTTCCCCTCTCCAGGTATTTAGTTGAAGTTTTTTTCACTGGGACAGCCTCATGAGATGCCTATCTGATTGCTCTCTCAAATTCAAACCCTGCCCAAATAAGATAATAAAAATCATTACCATGTAGCCTGGGTCACCCTTTTCTCCCATCTTTCCTGGATACCCAAGTGATCCCTTAATGAAAAGAAAAAGTAGTAATGTTTTCATATTTTAAAAAACATTCATTGATGTCAACAGAAAATGAGAAACAAAACTATTACCTGCTCTCCATTAAGTCCATCAATCCCGTTGTCCCCGTCGTCTCCCTGAGGTAGCAAAAGTGATAGGGATTATATAAGACCCAGTGATCTAAATATCCAGGATGTGCTCTCAGTCCAGCAAAGATGGTGTCCATGTGAACTCCTGTAGCTGACCATGGAAGCCAAAGCCATCCAGATTTTAAAAATATACAAATTAATGCTTAATATCTCATTTCTTACATCTGCCCTAAGTACAACAGTAGAATAGACACCATGTCCAACCCTCAAAACAGGCTAAAAGGGATTAAAACCCCAATAGTACACTCACTGACGTCCCCTGGCTGTCATGGACTTGAACAGGAGCAGAATGAGGCCCTAAAATAGTGCATCTGCACATTTATTTTCCTTTGATGCGCCAGGCTATTGGTCAACTTTAAGGGTCCAGATAGACTTCCAAAGTGAAAGTGACCACTACAATGAATGAGGAAGAAGAGACCAACGTGAACAGTATTTACCAATAAAAAGACCAGCAAGATAAATATAAGCTGAAAGTCAAAATGATACCCAACTTTTATGTCATTCCAGTACATTTCTTTTTCTTTATGTCACATGGAAGCCTTAACAGGGACATGTATTTTGTTTTTAATGACTCTTGTTTCTTCTTGACTGTAAAACTGGTGTCTTAAACACAAGCAATACATAATCGCCCTGAATAATTGCTAATAGGGGGCTGGCTCCATGTGGCAATAGTCACGTCAAATTATATTTTCAGTAACGTGAATATTTCTATAATTCAATGCAAGTGAGATGCTGTATGGATTATGTGGGACACTATGATATTGTTGACACCAATATTATAAAATACAAGGAATCTGACTAGACATGACGTGTGAGGTTTCTGCAAATGGGTTATGATTTGCCAAGTATAATAATCTTATTTATATGTTTGTATCACCTTTGTATTGTGGGAGTTATAGATCTGAAGGCATATCTCTATTTCCAAACTTGTGCTGTTTTTATGGGTGACACCCCAAACAGATTGGCATCAGCACTGTTTGATGGCCCATCAACGTCCATTGACTGTACAATGAACCCATTGAAAGGAACCAGGAAAGACACCTTATGACTTAGCAAGGCATATAGGGGCATGCCTATGGACAGAACTAAGGTTTTTCCATGGCCTATGCTGGACAACTTGTGTTTGGAACAAAAGTAGTACAAGCCACGTGGCAAAAGAAATTTAAAAGGCAGCTGGCTGCATCATCATCTCCATTTTGTCTTCAATCCTGCTTCTGGCCTCTGCAGTAACTTTTCTATAACTGAGGCTCTGAACAAAGGACTGAATGACCCATCCAAGCTGTGGATGTGTTCCAGAGGGACTTTCAAGGCAGCAAACTTACCAATACTGCTAAGAACCCGTTATATGGACATTGAAGAGTCTCTGTATGTATTTGATTGCTTCACCATTTTACAACTCTCTTCTTGTTCTTTTTTCTTTGTAATAAACCTTTAGTTTGACACACTAAAAGACTGGCTGGCAGCATGGTATTTTGGGTAAGATCCAAACCTTTAGTTTGACCGATAATGTGGCTGGCCCTTTGCTCACATATACAAAATGTTCTTCTGACCCCAGAGTTTTAAAATAACTCACTGGACTGGACCTAGGTGCTGACTGGGAGCCAGAGAACTGGAATGCAATAAAGAGGCTGTGGGATTTCTTTTTTTTGCTTCTTGATAACCAGTGGGGGAGGATCAGAAGCACAGTTTGTGACTGGTTGGTGAGTTTATTTCAGTGTTAACGACCAGTCTTTGGGAATCTGCTCTCCTTTTTGCAGCCTGCCTTAGATACCAGGGTCACAGTAAGTTTTTACAATCTTCCTGCAGAAAGCAAAAGTGAATCCCTAAGCCCTGAATTAAACAAAAATAATTTGCAGTGTGATGAATCCAAGAATCACTTAGCATCGGATTCTATTCTCTTGGGAGTCAACTCCTAGGTACAGATCACAGGATCGAGCCTTTAAACAGCATCAGGCTCATCCCAAAGATCTTCAAACTTAAGGATACTTACACGGGAAGATGAATTAAGACAACGTGTCTATATGAAGGTGAGGGTATACCTTTTCTCTTCTCCCTCCTCCTTTAATGCACTTTCATTTCTTATTTATGCTTTCAGCCATCTCACCTGATTTGTAGTCAAATCAACACAAAGTTATTCAGGAAATAAGTGCATCAGTACTGTACCTTTTCACCAGATATTCCTTGGAATCCCTGAAAAGAATTACAACAAATATTTGTTTGAATGAGGTAAACAAAAAATAAATGCAAAGACATTTTGCTGAGTTAAAATAAAGTCAGTAGATTCTTACTTTAGGACCTGTACTACCATCACATCCCTTATTCCCTTGCTCTCCCCTTGGTCCAGGCAGTCCTCTTGAACCCTGAAAGAGAGAGAATGAAAAACACATCTCAGTATATCCTGCCTAGTAAATGAAATATGAAGTTTGTAAGGAGAGTGATCACATGTTTGATCAGGGGACGACTATATTCATGAGATGTAATACTAGAAAGGGAGCGTGTATGTTAATGAATATGGTAAATCTCTGAGAAAGCTCCCGCATAAGCTACATGTTTCAGAAGCCTGAGCAGACTCAGATTGAGCTAAGTGCTTGTGCAGTTAAAACTGCTGTAGTTTCTCTTCGAAGTGCTTACAAAATATTACAAGCTTCTGATAGTTATATAAGAGTTTCATACCAAGTGTAATCACTTTGCATAATGCAAAAGAAAGTTCTGAATTGAAAAGGCAAATTGACAATTAATGTTGCTCACCTCCATTACAGATAGCAGTGGGGCACTTTCCTTCATTCTGCTCTTAATACTACCTTACTTAGAGAGTTCCTGCTGGGAGGGTGGTGGGTGGGAAGAGAAGAGACGGTGTGGCGGGAGGGGAGGGCCAGAGGAGGAAGAGGGTGTTGCTGTAATGAAGGCCTAGGCCCAGTGGCCAAGAAAAATAATCAATCCATGTTTTTTTCAGTGAGCACAGTCCAAAGGCCGAATTCTGTTCTCAGTTACACAGGAGTCTGGTGTGGTGCAGGAGCCATGCTGGCTCTACACCCTCGTGGGACTCTCCAAGGGGAGATGAGGGCAGAGACTACTCCCTTTGCCCCACCTGAGCAGTGCAAAGCAAGTGGGGCCACAAATCTGCTCCATAGTATCGTGACCCTAAAATTAGACATTAAATACAATCTAACTCGCCTCTTATCAAGTGCTAGAACAGTGTCTCTGGTGTACTTCTCATGTTGCTACTCATGCAGTTCTACTTGTGTTTTACTTGTCAGACCACATTCATGCGCTATGCTGGTATTTTCTGTTTCAGTGCATCCAAGCACATTCCGCTACAAGCGATAACCCAGGAGCCACACCATTAACAGGTGTGGTTTAAGGGAGTGGAAAATAGGATGGATTATATTGGTGCTTATCTGTTGTGTTTCTTAATCTGAAACAAATAGTCAGAATTGAAAATACTGTTTCCTTTACTGGCCTGAATCACCACTAGGTTACTCAGTTTTATGCCCATGTAACTCCATGGGTTACACACTGGAGTAATCGAATGATGAATCAAGCCGTGTATATGGAAACACAGAAGGCATGAAACCCAATTATTTATAAATGGAGTGGTGCACATTAGTAGAAAACGTTTCCTAGTCTCTTTCTTGTGCCATGTACTCCGTCTCAGCAGCTTGCAGACAGCAAAGATTCCATAACTGCATACTATGGGTCCAATAGTGAATGTGTCAGCATCCACTTGCATGCAAATCCGTGCCTACTTTGCATACTATTGGGGATATTATTTACACACATGGCTAGATAAGTTCCGAACTAAATAGGCACCTATATAGGAATGTGTGTGCACCAGTTTGTACACATACTTTGCATGTACGTATTTAGTTCACATGCAAATACTTGCCTGCCTACTTGCTGAAAATCAGGTCTCTCTCTTTTCCCTTTGTTTATTGAATCTTAGAAATATAGGCCTGGAAGGTACCTTGAGAAGTCAAGAAGTCCAGCCCCTGCACTGAGGCAGGAACCAAGGGAGGAATTATTTTAATTTCTTAATATTCGGAAAAAATATAAGCCTTGAATTCTCATGTAGACCAAACAGGGGTGTATGGGGTTGTCAGGGAGGGGTAGTACCTCTGATGGGGGAGCAGTCGTACTCCTAGGAGTAGCTCATCCACTTTGGCCCCCAATTGACACCCAGCTCTCACCTGTGGCTCCAAGTAGCTGTCAGCATGCGACAGCGGCCACACCCCGGAGACAGTCTCGACTAGCGGGCTAAACCAGGTGAGGGTAGCCAATGAGTATGAGACTCTCGGTGAGTCAGGGCCTGTCTACCCATTGCATGCGAAGGTTGGATCCGGCTGACTGAGGCAACCTGGTTCAATGGTCAGGAAGGCAGTGACAGCAAGCATTGTGGAACGCTTAAGAGCACGACAAGACACGTAGGCGTCCTGGTCATCCACTGCGCCCTGTCCTATCTCCAGCCGTCTCGACTTCTATCCTGCCACTGGATACAGATAGGAACTGGGAAGAGAGAGTGAGGCTGACATTGCGCAGCTCTCCCTCACTTTAATCCAATTCACGCGCCAGTCTCGACATCATATCATATCACATCATATCAAGTCCTGTGGCGATGGGCGAGCGACAAAGCAGCAGGTGTGGATACACTGGGAGCTGTAGCCGCAGACCTGCACATAGGCAGCTCAGGCATAATGGTTGTTCCTCACTGACCGAAGCAGCAGTGGAGCTCGGGATCTTCTTGAGCGACTGAGCAGCCCTATTCAGGATTGCACTGCTCACCTCCGTAGAACAAGGAGGGGGCTAGAAAAGGTGCCCTAAACATTGCCTGCTTCACCTTACCCTGGCCAGCATACCGCAGCTGGCGGGGACCCCATAAAAGCGGTCGAACAAAAACAAAACTTAGAGTGACACCGATCACTATTGGCACATGGAATGTGCACACGTTACTGGACAACATCACAGCAGCCAGACCAGAGAGAAGAACAGCACTTGTCGCTAGAGAGCTCGCACGCTACAACATTGACATTGCAGCCCTTAGCGAAACTCGCCTTGCTAATGAAGGACAGCTATCGAAGTCAGCTATACATTCTTCTGGAGTGGCCGCAGCAGTGATGAGTGTCGCGAATCTGGAGTTGGCTTCGCCATCAAGAATCATCGTGTTCGGAAACTTGCCAGGTCCCCGAAGGGTATGAATGACTGGCTCATGACAATGCAGCTTCCGCTTCAAAAAGGAAAACAAGCTACTTTGATCAGTGCATATGCTCCTACAATGACCAACTCAGAGGATGTGAAGGAAAAATTCTACGAAGAACTAGATACTCTGCTATCGTCAGTGCACCGCATAGACAAGCTGATTCTGCTTGGCGATTTTAACTCAAGAGTTGGATGCGATGCCGCAGCCTGGGAAGAAGTCATCAGGAAAAATGGAGTGGGAAAGTGCAACAGCAATGGCCTGTTACTGCTGAAAACTTGTGCAGCACATGGCCTTCTGATCAGCAATACGGTCTTCCGCCTTCCTACCCACAACAGGACTTCGAGGATGCATCCCCGTTCCAAGCACTGGCATTTGATCGATTATGTCATCCTCAGGAGAAGGGACAGACAAGATGTCAGGGTTACAAAAGCTATGTGTGGCGCTGACTGTTGGACGGTTCATAGGCTCATAGTATCCAAAATGAAGCTCCGTATCATGCCGAAGAGACGACCACAAGGCTGTAAGGCTCTCAAAAGGATCAATGTGTCGAAGCTGAAGAACAGCCGCATCACTGAAAATCTAGTGGAAGACCTAGAGAATGAGCTTGATCTTCGTATTGAGGATGATGCTGAGAAAGACTGGGAGCGATTCCGCAACACTGTCCATACAGCTGCATCGAAGGTATTGGGGCCCTCCACATGCAGGCAGCAAGACTGGTTTGACGAAAATGATGCAGAAATCCAGGCCTTACTTGCTGAGAAGCACCGCCTGCATCGTGCATATCAAAACGATGCATCCTCGGCGGCAAAGAAGACCGCCTTTATCAACGTTCGCAGAACAGTACAGAACCGATTGCGCAAAATGCGGGACTTGTGGCTGAGCGCCAAAGCAGATGAAATACAGGTATATGCGGACAGGAACGACTATAAGCAGTTTTATGAAGCCCTTAACACACTCTATGGTCCACAGTCTTCTGGGAGCTTTCTCCTCCTGAACTCTGATGGTACTGTGCTCCTTACAGAGAAGACGCAGATTCTCCAGAGATGGGCTGAACACTTTGAAGCAATTCTCAATCGCCCCTCAGTCATCAATGATGAGGCCATTGACAAGATGCCCCAAGTTGCAGTCAATGACTCCATGGATGCTTCACAAGAAGATGACGAAGTGAAGAAAGCTATCAATCAGCTGTCAAGTGGCAAAGCCCCAGGGTCAGATGCCATACCAGCAGAGGTGTACAAAGTCGGTGGACCCGTGCTGCTACGGAAACTCACTGAGCTGTTTCAGTCCTTCTGGGGGCAGGGAACCATTACACAGGAATTTAGAGACACGTCCATCTTGCACCTCTATAAGAGGAAGGGCAATCGCCAGGTATGTGACAATCACCGTGGAATCTCGCTGCTTTCTACAGTGGGGAAAGTTCTTGCACGGGTTCTGTTGAACCGATTGATTACTCACCTGGAGAAAGGCTTACTGCCAGAATCACAGTGTGGCTTCCGCAAAGGTCGTGGGACTATTGACATGATCTTTGCTGTGCGTCAGCTACAGGAGAAATGTCAAGAGCAGAATTGTGAACTCTACACAACTTTTGTGGACCTCACGAAAGCATTTGACTCTGTCAGTCGCCAAGGCCTGTGGAGGATCATGTCGAAATCTGGCTGTCCAGACAGATTTATATGAATGGTACATCAATTTCATCATGGTATGATGGCTCGTGTCCTGGATGACGGTGAAACATGTGAGGCCTTCCCAGTCACCAACGGCGTCAAGCAAGGGTGTGTTTTAGCACCCACTTTGTTCAGCATGATATTCTCTGCCACTCTGACTGATCCCTTTCAACACTGCACTGAAGGAGTAGGCCTGAAGTATAGAACTGATGGGAAATTATTCAATCTGAGGCGACTGCGTGCCATCACCAAGGTGAAGGAAACTGTACTTCGAGACTCTCTCTTTGCCGACGATTGTGCTCTGAATGCTAGTACAGAGCCAGAAATGCAAGCCAGTATGGACAAGTTTTCAACTGCTTGCAATAACTTCGGTCTCACTATTAACATCAAGAAGACTGAGGTCATGCACCAGCCAGCTCCCCACGCTCCGTACTCAGAACCGTCCATCACTGTAAATGGACAGAGACTTCAGACAGTGGACCACTTCACGTACCTGGGCAGTACTCTTTCCTGAGCAGTGTCAATCGATGATGAAGTAAACTGCAGAACTGCTAAAGCCAGCTCTGTATTTGGCCGATTGCACTTCAATGTTTGGGAACGTCGAGGGTTCAGCCTATCAACGAAGCTGAAGGTCTACCGAGCAGTGGTGCTTCCAACTCTGCTGTAAGCCTGCGAGATGTGGACTATCTATCGGAGTCATGCACGAAGGCTCAATCACTTCCACATTTCCTGTCTGCGAAAGCTTCTAAAAATCAGATGGCAGGACAAAGTGCCCGATACTGATGTCCTTACTAGAGCCAGTCTGTTGTCAGTTCACACATTGCTGAGGAGAGCCCAGACCAGGTGGACCAGACATGTTGTGAGAATGTCAGATGAACGCATTCCTAAACAGCTCTTCTACGGAGAACTCACTCAGGGAAAGCGCTCCCATGGAGGACAAAAGAAGCAATTCAAGGACACGCTGAAGACCTCTTTGAAGTCCTTCGAGATCAACACCGTCACATGGGAAACCTTCGCACTGAACTGAACTGTTCAGCATGACACAGCCTCATTCACACAGGCAGTAATACCTCTGAGGCGAGGCGTATTGCTGAGGCTGAAAAAAAGCGTGAGCTGCCCAAGTCCAGAGCTGCTCGTACATCATCGACAGTGCCATTACATGTTTGCCCGACGTGTGACAGGACGTTCCACGCCCGAATCGGACTGATCAGTCATCTTCGGACGCATCATCATCATCATCATCATCCCAACAGGATTTTAATCAAGAATTTATGTAAAAGTTTCTCCGAGAGATCCCCAAGTTCTTTTAGAAATTAAAGATCGAGAAGGAACTCTAAATTACCTACAATTCTAGAGTATTAAACATTGACAAACTGCTGAATCTTGACAGTTTTTTTAAAAAAGCTATGACCATTTTATTTTATCAGAATGATTTCTTTGGTATCAAGATTAGGAAATCCCCCCTTCCCCATCAGGTTATTACATTTTTTTTAAAATACTGAGCCCCCCAAAAGTCTTTATGGGCACTTAGTTTTGAAGTATTTTTTTCTTAGTAAAATGTAGTCAAATGTTATTACTTACCGGCTCTCCCTCTTCTCCTAAGTGTCCTCGACTGCCTTTTATACCTTTAGGTCCCTGAAATTCAGAAAGTAAAAGTAAAGATTAATACTAAAATTATCTTTGCTTAAAAAGGTGAAACTATTAAGGATTGTCCTGACACAGTACTTTATTTAGGAATGGCTAAAATTTTGCAAAAGGCAGTTTTATTTTGTACATTGCAAATTTCATTCCTTTGTTGACTGTGTATTGTGACAAAGTTCCTCCTCTATCTTGGTGGGTCCTGCGCTTATTGGTGGATATTCTTGCCTCAGAGATTCACCATGTGGGTTGGGGAACAGCCCAGAGACCTTCCCCTCTGGAAGAACCCACAGTCCAGGTCAATTGGGAGGTTTGGGGGGAACCCGGGCCTGCCCTCTACTCCGGGTTCCAGCCCAGGGCCCTTGGACTGCAGCTGTCTATAGTGCCTCCTATAACAGCTGCATGACAGCTACAACTCCCTGGGCTACTTCCCCATGGCCTCCTCCAAACACCTTCCTTATTCTCACCACAGGACCTTCCTCCGGGTGTCTGATAACGCTTGTGCTCCTCGGTTCTCCAGCAGCACACCCTCAGCTCCTTGCGCCTCTTGCTCCCAGCTCCTCACACTCCCACCACAAACTGAAGTGAGCTCCTTTTTAAAACCCA